GACTCAAATATTGTTCTCGCCTGGATTTCATCATCTTCCGCCAAATGGAAAACTTTTGTCGCTCATAGGGTGGGCGAAATACAGGAAATAACTTCAAGAGCCGAGTGGGCGCACGTGAAATCGCAAGATAATCCTGCGGATGTAATATCTCGTGGTTCTTATCCAAAAGAATTGTCTAAGTCGTCCTTATGGTGGTCAGGGCCACAGTGGTTACAAAAGGATTGTAGGGAATGGCAAACCACGGCCGAGGCAATAAGTAATTTAAATTTACCTGAAGTCAAGTGTACTGAAAAGTATAATTCCATTAACTTAATAGCGAATACAACACAAGAAAATTTTTCCTTATTAAATAGGTGCTCAAATTATCAAAAAATATTGCGTGTTACCGCGTATTGCTATCGTTTTATTTATAATGCCGGACGTAAATCGGATCGCAAAATAGCGTTTTTAGAGGTCAGTGAATTAAGTCAAGCGAACCTAGGACTGATAAAGCATGTACAAAATGATTACTTTTCTTCTGAAATAAAAAATTTAAATCACCCTACGCCTTTTGTTTCTTCTAAAAGTCCATTATTTCGTCTTAGACCTTACATGGATGAAAATGGTGTTTTACGCGTAGGAGGCCGTTTAAAAAATGCTGTTTCCATCGATATTTATCAGCGGCATCCGATTATTTTACCACATAAAAGCACATTTACAAGGTTATTGTTTCAACACGAACACGTCAGTCTTTTACACAGTGGCCCTCAAGCTATGCTAGCGTCGATTCGTCTAAAATATTGGCCTATAGGAGGACGTAGTATTGCACGAGATGTTTTTAGAAAATGTGTAATATGCTTTCGTTTAAAGCCAGTTGTAGTTCAGCCCATTATGGGCGATTTACCAACAGACCGCGTAGAACCAGTCCCTCGCGCGTTCTATAAGTGTGGTGTAGATCTTGCAGGTCCTATAATGATTCGTACTAGTTTATTGCGAAGATCTCAACATGTAAAAGGTTACATAGCTATTTTTGTGTGCTTTGTCACAAGGGCAGTTCATATAGAGCTTGTCAGCAATTTAAGTACAAAGGCATTTCTTAATGCATTAAATCGTTTTTTTGATCGTCGAGGCAAAAGCCATACTATTTACTCAGATAATGCGACAAATTTCGTTGGAGCTCAGCGTCATTTGAAAGAAGTTTACGATCTATTTTATTCAAAAGAGCACCAAGACGCCATAAATACGGAGTTGTCTAAGCATGGCGTTCAATGGCGCTTCATACCAGCTCGCTCCCCTCATTTTGGCGGGTTGTGGGAGCGTGCCGTTCGCTCGATGAAAAATTTATTATATAAGGTAATGGGTGAGTCATATTTAACTTATGAGGAATTAACAACAGTACTAACGCGCGCTGAGGCTTGTCTTAACTCACGACCTATAACTCCTTTATCCAACGAACCTTTTGATTTATCTTATCTTTCTCCTGGTCATTTTTTAATTGGCGACTCCCTTATGGCAGTACCAGAACCAGAGTCCAACACTAAGCAATTAAATCGGTTGGATAGATGGCAGCGCGTCACTCAATTATCGTTGAATTTGTGGAAACGTTGGAGCAAAGAGTATCTTGGGCATTTGCAAGAGAGGGTAAAATGGGCCAAAGAGAAAGGGCCTAGCTTAAATGTTGGAACGGTTGTCCTGTTGCGTGACGACAACTTGCCCCCTCTGAAATGGAGTATTGGGCGTATCGTGTCCGTTCGAGAAGGAAGGGATGGAGTGGTGAGGTCGGCCTTTGTTCGAACTGTTAATGGAGAATGTGAGCGAGCTGTCCGCCAATTGTGCCCTCTACCGTTTGAGCGTAATAACTCATCTCCAGAAGTTTCATCCCAGTAGTTAGTCCAAATTTGTAAAAATATATTGCTATTATCTGTTTGTTGTCAATTTATTCTGAAAATTTTTACTGTCGATGATTTAGTAATATTTTATAGTACCCCTTTTTTATTTTGGTTAGATTGTTTAATTAATTTATTTGTTTTTATTATTATTATTATTTTTTTGTACAAAGTGATTATATTTGTAGTTAAAATAGTACTATTACTTTAAATTATTGTTATCTTTATCAAAAATATTTATGTTTATGGGTTGTTAAAAATTTATCTTAAATTGCCTACTTTATGTATTTTTTATTCAATAAGTCATTTTGAAATTTGTTATTTCAAGGCGGCCGGCGTGTTCGATCCATAGTTTGTTTTTTTTTTATTTTGAATGTAGTATAGTGATAAGCGCGTTTATCCGGTGCGTACCGGTTTTTTCGTCTTTGTAATATATAGTCGAACGATGTCTCGTCAACGGAAAGGACGGCACGACGTGCACGCCAATAAGTGTATACAAAATAAAGTAATATAAACTAAGTTAAAGGTTTAAGTTTATATCGATTCTTATTAATTAGATAATTAAACGTAATTTCGAACGTTTTATACAGTCCACTTCTGAAAAAGTAACA